TATATATATATATATATATTGCTGAAATTACGATTGTTTCTGTGGCCTGTTTTTGTTCAGTGCAGCGCCGTCGTTTTGTACACAAAATCCCGCCGCAGCAGTCTGCAAGTTCCTCCTCGGGAGGTGGCAATGCAGCAGACAGCAGCAGCAGCAGCGGGAGCAGCAGCAACAGCACCTGGACGGGGAGCGGGTATCGCCAGACTGCAGCAGATGTGCGGAGAGGACTCACTCTGACTGATTACTGCGCAGACTCGCTGCCTGATGCCCCGTATTTGCGTCATGTGTGGATGGCTCTAGATGAGTGGAAAAGACCCGTCAGGCGGCTGCTTATGCCCAAACAACCAAAGGTACGCTTGAATTTGTTGCTACGCTTGCTGCCGCTTCTTCTGCTGTTGCTGCTGCGGTTGTATTGGTGGTACTGCATATTCTGGTGCATCCCCTGCGTTGGCTGCTTCATCCTTTTGCCTGTTTTCCCGGTTGCTAGCATGCAGCATGCATGCAACACACATGCAGCATAATAAGGCCGTGTGTACACATTGTGTTGATTGTGTGGGGGGTAGGCCGCGAGCTGCTGCGAACAGTGGGCTGAGGAGAGTTGTGTAGACTATGAGCGGGACAGCGACGATGAGTGGTTTGAGTGTTTTGATGCTGACGATCTTGATGACGCAAAAGAGGAAGAAGAGGAAGAAGAAATCGAAGCAGAAGAAGATAGAGATTGGCTCGAGGACGACGACGAAACCAAAGACAAACACATCAATGCGGCTGCTCCTGCCATTCGATTCGAGTCCTTCCTTAGGTGGAACTTCACTTTCGACGGAGAGCAAAGGCCCAATGAAGCAGATTGTAAGCAAACTAAGCCGTTCTTACACGTGAATGACGTGCATGCATGCCAGCACAGCGATATCAGGACGCTTGCCTGCCTACACGCAGTGTGCTCTTGGTGTTTTTCGTCTGTTTTTGCGCCTCTTGCATGATATCTGATCGCACTGTACGATCGTAGTTTGTTTTGTGCTTTATGTTTCCATTCGTCATATTTCGGGGTAAGTGCGATGTCTGCTTTAAACGGCTGCTTCCCTCCTTTTTTATCGTGTATTCTTAACTTCGTTTGTGTTCATTTTAGCTGTCGTTGTGTTGCTGCCTGTGAGCTTTTGCAGTGTCTGCACATCTCGTGCCATTTCCGCGTCTGCGCGACGGCAATTGGTGTTCGGCATACGGCTGCATGGGGGATGACTGGGGTGAGGGATGCCCAAAGAATACAGCAGTTTACTGCGAGATGCTGCCTGCATGTTATGTTAGCCTAGGGCTTTCGTCGTTGTTGCCGTTGCGCTTGATGCTGTATTTGTTGTTGCTGCAGCCGATGCTGTATTTGGCACTGCTGCATTTGTTGTTGCTGCGTTTGCTCGTCTACGTGTTGCTGATGCTGTATTTTCTGCTGCACTTGCTGCTGCGTTTGCTGCTGTCCATACAGGGGGAAATCCGTTTTCTAAACTGGACGCCTTGCCGAACAGTGCGCGGCGCAGGTGGTCTGGCGAAGACAGCATTAATCTATTGAAGGTGCAGATCAAAACACTTCTTCTTTTGTTCGTGCACTCGACAGGGTCGTTTAGTTGTCTCAGAAAGAACAGCATCTCAGGGCTCCACTTTGACAGTTAGCTACAAGAAGACAAACTTTAGTAACGACTCAAATCTGCCATTTTCTAGAACAACACAGGCCCTCAGCGTGCATTCAGCACAATCCAGCTTAACATCAACCTAACTTTATGTTATGCACGTACAATATTTATGCTGTATATGTATATAATATACAATGCGTGCATACAGTACACACATTACAAGTATAGTAAGTGCTGCAATATATATTATATGTAGAAGAACGTACACATATGTATATGCAATGCAATATATATGGGTTGTGCATTTATCTGTTTGCATCTTCGGCTCTGGTGGCTTCCGAGTAAGACGTATGCTTGTTCGTTTTCCTCCTTGTCTACCATGTGTGCATGCATATTTCTTTAATGCTTATCGCTGCACAGTATATTTTGTCGATTCGTGTATATGCATGCGGTGTTTTGTCAGTTTGATTGCACTCATGTGTTGTCGGTTTTGTGTTCTTAGTTCTTTCACGGGAAGATAATAGGGAAGCTCAGAACTATTTCGGAGTTTCAAAGAGCGTAGGTTGTCGTTTAGCGCATCTCGGTTTTGTCCTTTCCCCTTCTGTGTCCTCCTTTGGTTTGATTGATTCCTCTGTAGACTGCCGCTTAACACGTCTTGCCTCTTTTACCCTTCGTTATTGTCCCTAGTTTGTCCTTATTTGCTTCTCTGTGCTGCACCTTGCTTCCCTTTGCTCCCCTTGCTTCTGCCGCACTGCTGGTTTCCACTCTGCTGTTTGTTTAATTCTGTTTCCGCTCGCTTGTGCTGCGCTGTGCTTGCAGCAACCGCCATGTGACAAAGGCTGAGGTGGAGAGACAGATGAAGCAGTATATGGTTTATGAACGACGAGGGGATGACAGACAACGCGTAGGCGAACTAACAGCTTTAAACCAGCATACGAAAACAGCCCCACTTCTATACATACAAACTAACAAGCACGACGTCTGTGAATGATGCGTTTACATGTTTCAATAACACAACAGCAGACGGGCGAAAACAGTAACAGTGAAACATATAAGATCACCAGTCACGCAAGATATTTCGAGGTGCATGGCTGCTTTCTCTCTCCTTTTCTCTGTGTTTGCACAGCGCTGGTACGCAACCGAGGAAGCGGCTCGGGCATTTAACCTTACAGAGGAGCTTGAAGGAATCCTTAACAGGATAAAAACTGAAGAGAAAATTCTGGAGGCGAGGAATCAGGAGCTAGCTGAGCAGTTGAAGGCACAGCTTGTAGCAAATAACGCAATTCTCGACACAGATGACAAAAAGCAACATCCACATGCAGTGACCTCCCCAAACGATACAACAACAACAGCAACAACAGCACGAACATCTGTGACACCTGCAGCACGCGCATCACCTGCTGCAGCTGCAACTCCTGCAACTGCCGGACCCAGCTGCAGCAAGCTGGAGGTGGCTTTTGCCAAGAGAGTTGAGGCCTCAGATGAGCCGCAACACGCAACAGCACAAGACTTCAGCGGGAATAATACAGTGGCTGCTGCTGCAGCAGAGCTACGCCAAAGCTCTAGCGTGCAGCAGCTGCTACAGCAAAAGAGGCCGTTGTCTTCTTGTGGGGATTCCGTCTCGTTGCCAGCAGACAAGGACACAGCGGTATCTGTTGCCGCAGGACATGCAAACTCGCAGGGGACCCCACTTACTGCTCATGTTACTGCAGCAGCGCTGTTGCCTGAGAAGCTGGCAGGAGAACAAGCAGAGCTCCGGGAGGGATACGGAGCGTCTCCGCCGAGCGGCAGCGGCATCGCTGCTGTTGCTGTGGTGCCTGTACAGCAGGGTCTGAGAGGTCCACGGCAGTCTGCACCGTCCGCGGTTTCTGCGTATCTAACAGGGTGCCCCGGGACGGTTTCTTCGAAGTTCGTTAGCCCCCCTATGGTGGCGCCCCGACACAGTGCGGACGGGATGGTGGCTTGTGAGAGACCAGGTGCACCGGTGTTAGGTGTACAGCCGGCTAGGGTTGAGGAGGACCTCGACAAAATTGCAGCAGGGAAGCGCATGCGGAAGAGCGCAGTGCTGCAGGGGACGCCCGTTGATATGCCTGTTGATGCGGCCCCCAAGCGCGTCAAGAGGCGGCAATCCGCGTTGCGAAATCCCTGAACAGCAAACGCCTAGGAGACGCGCGGGAACGGGTGCTAGTAACTTTAATCCGCTTCTTTTCGTTTGTGCGTTGGTTGGTTGCTTGCCTTTGATGCTATTATTATTGTATTTTTGTGACCTATTTTGGCATGCGGGGAGCGGAGAGCTGCGCGCGTGAGGTGCTTGCAGTTTAAGCCCGCATGCAGTGAAGTTGCACTAATTGCATTTCCGACGCCTTTGCAGATTCTGCTTACAGTAAAAAGAGAGTTTGAACTCTCTTCACTCATCTAGCAACTCCTGGTGGTGAGTGCAGGCACGGAGTGACTGGCAATGAGTGTTCAGAAAAGAGCTGAGGAAGCGGAAACCAGCAAAAGCAACCATCAGCAGCACGATCATGGTGAACGGCTGCCGGAAGTGTTCCATTCCATCGAATTGATCATAGAAGGCGCCCTGTAGAGATGGAACAATCAGGGGCAAAGTCGTCGTGCAAATTCCAGACCAACCGTAGCTGCGTGTACACCTGGACGGTGGTTCAATTAATCCGTATTTGTTCTTTCCCGTTTTCTTTTTTAGTGTTTCCCCATACAAGCTGGTCTCCCTCTATCTCTGCAGTTAATTCCCTTTTGTCCTGAATGCAAAAGGGGTAAATATGTGCGGTGTAAGACAGCCCCGCGATGGCTTCCGAAATAGGCATGGTGTTCATGTTTCTGATCCAAGTTGGGCTGGCGCTTGTGATCGTTCTGGGCGCGTTTTTCTTCATTGTTTATCATTTCTTTTCGCACACATCATCTGAACCGCATCCACCTTCGAAATTCCGAAATGCCGTTTGGGGTCTGCACTGCACACGGCCGCCTTCAGGCCAAGACCTCGGGAAGCAGCAGTTCAATAAAGCGCGTGATGATGTCTACCGCGTCCTTCGTGACGAGATCTCTTTTAAAGAGGTCTGCCTGCTTATTTTAGCCTGAATTAAATCTTTTCTCATTTTAATTTGCATTTCTTCGTAGCGGAAAAGCGCTAACAGCCCGGTCCGCATGCTGAATAGCAGCGGTGCCTATGGCTACCAGAACGCCTCTAGTAGTGTGGTGAGCACATATGGAGGATTTCTCTCTCCTCTTTATAAACACATAGTTCCGTTCAGATTCGAAAAGTGTCTGAGAAGCATAGAGAGGCAGACAGCCTTACGGGCGGGTGTCCCTACATGCAGAATCAATCAAGAGCCGCAGTCCCAGAAGTAAGACTTGCTTTGTAATAAATACAAAACAACGCACACGGCTAATCCATCCAAATATAGAGACAGGTCGAACAGTCACGAGACGCCTGGGATCTGCACAGCGGTCTCGCGCATGCAAAGACAAATGGCGTACTGAGCGAATGGACGCGTTCAGCTGCTAATGTACTAACGGAAGGAACACAACAACTGCAAAACACAAAAACCCAGAGTCTTGTAAGAGCGCCTGACACCTACAGCAGAGCCGTGCCTTCTCTTTCCAGAGAACCCCACGGGCTGGAGCAACGCATGCACTTTGAGATACAGCAGCCTCAAGAAGCAACACCGCTGCTCACATCAACATGGCAGTCACTCGCCGGTACATCAGTGGCAACAGCAGCAACAACTGCTGCCCCTGCAGCGGCTCAGTACCCAATGGCTCCTGTGTTGCCGCATTTCGGGCAGCCTCATGCGGCTGCTGCAATCCTGGGGCAGCAGCCGCTGCAGCAGCTACCGCGTCCATTCGCTGCTGGTGATCTCTGCACTTCAGGAGCTCAAGCGTATACCCAGGAATGCAACACTGCATGCGCTTCGATGACACGGCAAGCAGCGCACTGCCCCGCGGAGCTATCTGCTGCTGCACTTTACACGGGAGCTGCGGGCTGGCGTCTGACAGGCCAACAGCAGCAGCCGGCGGGAGGAAGCGGTTCACTAACTGCTGCGAACAGCGCGCGCGCCGCCGCAGCACTGCCGCTGGCTAGTGCATCCGCTAGCCGTACAGACTTTCACCCTTTGAACGCCGAGGAATCGGATTGCAGAGACGCCGTAGCAGCCTTCTATCTGGGAGGCCACTGCTGCTCACCCTCACGGGGGAGTACTAGCAGCGCCAATGCAGCAGCGGCAGCAGCGGCAGAAGCAGCAAGCAGGGAGTGTCAGACGAAAGAACTTGCACAACTTGTGCGAGTGGCAAACGCAATCGAATCTCTTCTGGGGGCCTCAGCGAAACGGCGCGCGGCTGATAGTACCAGCATCAACCGCAGCAGCACGGGAGGTGCAAGCAGCGCAGCAGCAGCGGCAACTGGCGCAGCACTGGTTAGTTCGACTGTACCAGACAGAAGTAAGTAGAATGCTCTGATTCAGGCTCAACAGCAGTCGTATGATGTGGGAATTATAGGCACCAAGAACACAACGGGGGGCAGGGAGAGCAGCAACATACTGCAGCAAGAGGCCAACCCCTGCCAGCAGCTGCAGCCTGCATCCACATTTTCAGCAGTGGACAGACCCACTAGCAAGAGGGAGGAGACAATGCTTGTCGATCCCCCAGCTAAGCGGCGTCTGAGTGCTGCTGAGGGGAGCCCTAATAAGGCTAAGGGAGAGGTGACACAAGAGCACAGAAGATCACTTGCTACAGCAACGGAAACAACGAAAAAACAGAGAACGAATCTAATGACGAAAGTTCTTTTGTTAGTGTGCAGGTACGATGCCTTCTACTGCTTACAAGCATGCATGCATGCATGCATGCATGCTAACAACAAAAGCACAAGAGCCTCGATTCTGCAGCCACCAGAACAAAAACTACAGGGGAGGCAGAGTGCGCCTCATAGAATGGTGTAGAAGATACGCAGGAAGCCTCTCCCCTGATCAGTGCGCCTCTGCTACAGCGAACTATTTCTGTACGCCAGATGCCGCCTTCCTCCTTATTCTCGCTCTGTGCCTGATCTTACCATTATTCCTGTTGTTGCTCTTGTAGATGCTCGTGTGCTGTGCTCTCGTTGTCGTTGTTTCTATTGTTGCTGCTGCAGTCTTCTTTTGTCTTGCTGCTGCCGGTCTTTTTTTCCTATTATCAGTTTCCACTGCATGCACAGCTGCCAGGCAAGGAGGCTCGCGCGCGGACTTTGAGGCGACGCTCGAGGCCACCAAACAGATTCGTTCGGTCTTCTGCCCTCAGTGCGTTTTTGCAAAACAAGCAAACAGAGAAATAGTCTGGCAGACGAGTAAAGAAGTAGATAAGCAAGGAACCAGACGACAGACACAGAGATAGGCACAGTCAGAGAGAGATAGAGACAGAGATAAACAGGCATACAGTGATTTTGCAGCCGAGTTATCGTTTATTCCTTGATTTCCTTTTGCTATCCAGCGTCCCCAACTTCTTCGAAGTGCACCTTGTGGGGGATCTCGTAAATGAATCCGATTTTGTAGGACTTTGCTCTTCTTGTGTTTGCAGCACCAACTAACAAAATTGGCTCAACTTCAGGCCATGTTCCCTACTGCCGCATGGCTCACAGCGTTCTTTGCTGCCGGTAAGAAGAGCGTTTTACCTATGGGTATTGTTCTTGTTCTAAGATCCGATTTATGGATGGCATTTTAGCTGACGAAGAGCCGAGCGAAGCCAGGCTGACGAAGGCGGCTGCGGTAATACAATATTGAGAAAATAATGCATTACTGGGCGTTGGTTCTAAGTCTAGCGTTTTTGGTTGATGCCCAGCTACTCAAGCTCGAAGGACAACTGCTTCTAAAGGTTGCTGTCTGTGCGTCTACGCTGCTTGCAGGCGTTCCCTCTTGCGCCGAAACAGACGTTGAAACGTTCCTACGATGCAGGTTTCTCCTCTGCTCTGTCGGCGCCCGCTTTCTCTGATTTGGTGAGGCTCTGAGTGATTTTTTAATTGCAATATGAGAAATATTTACGTGGGGTTTGCAGGAGTTTAATCGGGTTCTGGCACAGCTGTCAAGCGCAGTCCTCCGTAGGTACGTGTGTGTGCAGGTAAACTGTTCAGCTCTGTGTTTTGGACATAAAGTGGAATTTCCTATGGAATGACAGATCAACCCGTCTAAGGGTGACAAAGGCTGAAAATGAAGGCGAGAAGGAACAAGGAAGAGAACCCTCTTCCGCTATGGAGTATGGGTCTTCTTGGCAGCCTCTTCTGGTGAGCCTCATATTTAGTTCTATAGCAGCATTGTAAAGCATGAAGATCAACAAGCAAACTATATATGGCCTATATATACTTTCTCTATAATGAATATTAGAAAGCAAAACTAACAACAATCGTGTCACCCTCATTATTCTCATTCAGAATGAACTGCGGGAAACGTCCGACTTACAAAAGCATCAACTTGAGGCGCGGACTCGAACAACAAGAAAAGCCAGCTGTCTAGATGCTGCCGTAGACGCAGCAGAACCGGCTGCAACTGTTTCTGCCTCTGGTCTTCCCTCAAGAGAAATCAACCCACCAGCATTACTAATGCGTGCAACCCCGAAGCTTACTGCAACAAACATGTCTTCAAAAATGTGGTGGAGAGAGCCAAGTGCCCAACCCCTCAGTTACACGCAAGAAGAACCTCCCCCCTTTTCAGAGACTGCTTCCACTGCAGCAAGTGTAGACAACCAGAGATTTGAATACCCAGCTGATCCGCCCTTCTATTTGGCAGCTGCTGCTCTTTCAATGAAACCCGAGGCTGCGGCACAGGCGCGCACGTGTGATGCAGCATCCGAACTGCAACAACAGCGCAGAGAGGGAGAGGAGGAGCACAAACACAAGCGGCGAACAAAGGCCTCAGCTTGCAACAGGAAGGACAACAAAAGCGGCAAAGAATCGGGCCCCAATTATTCGCACCTGTCTCTCCAAAAGACGGCGTGCAAAGGGGAGGCCCCTTCCTCTTCGGTAATGTGGAGGCTGTCGAGCTCAGCCGCTGCTGGTCCTCCTCCTGTTGCTGCTTCTGCTGGCCGCAGCACCAGCAGCAACTGCAACGGCCGTCAGCCGCAGCATCAAAAATCACCGCAGCAGCAACAGAAGAGAGGCAAGGCGAAGCATCCAGCAGTCCACGCTTTCCCAGGCACTCCTGAGTCGCCCTTTGGCAGCTGCCCTCCCTTGACTTTTATTTGCAGAGACGCTGCTCTATCCTCAGCGTCGCTGGGGCCCCTAAGCGCTGCGGGCAGCACCCAATGCAGCACGACGAAGTCTGAGAGGGTCGTAACAGCCGGCCGTGGAGGCCTGGAAAACGCCAGAAGGAATAGGACGAGAAGCAAAGGTGTGCTCAAAAAGGAATTGTAGTAAAATGCATGCACAAGAAAGTCGGGTCAGCAGCAACGACAAATGTGGGAGATCCGAAACCCATTGTGGCTTACCGGCTAGCTACTGCAGTGCGGCAACTAGCTGATCCTGCAGCAGCAGCACCTGCTGCAGCAGAAATCAAAAGGAGAAACACGAGAATTATGAGCGGCAATGAGAAATTTCAATCACTTGGTACCGTTTAAAGTCCTTTCTTACGCAACTGGTGTGCTATGAATTCACTGGCGAAGCCAAGTCAAGCCCACATCGTTGTAATTGTAGACTCCGACCTTATATGGGGTATTCGGCGAGCTGCTACCGACTCAATATACGGAGGATGAGATACTAGTTACTAGTTACTTAAAAGCAGCTAATGACCTCATCCCCAGTCTCCAGCTCCCTGGGCACACCAACCAGAGCCACTCGATATGTGGGGAAGGTGGCATGACATGCTGCAACGCAGCTTGCTGCAACGCTCCTTGCTGCAACACAGGGTGCAAGACAACGCTCTACGCCAGCACAGTCGAGCCATATGCCCCGAATGCTCTAAAACTGCAGACGATTCTTGAAGGGTTGTGCTTGCGTGCAGGTTGCCTGCTACATCCAAACAGGGGTTCATGGGCCAACTTCAGACGTGCAGGCACAACCGACATCACTTTTGCTGCGTGCACTCATAATATGGTAGAAAATTGTTGACCAGTTCTACTCGGTTGCACGCTGGATCTAAGGCCGAATAAGGCTGCGCTTGCCAAATTCAGGCATACCTGCCGATGCCAGAGAGATTACGCTACAGTTGTGCCCTCCATGTGCCAATTTCTGGCAATGCTGTTGGCGTCAGCATAATGTGTTAGTCGTGCTCCCCAACGCCGACACACATATTATTGGGACTCGAAAGCTGATAACAATTCCATCGCCACCCATTTATGTTCAGAACAGCAAATTTTAGTATTATGTAGTTAGTCAACTACAAATTTTGCCTCCTTTGCACACAAGCGCCACGTGAAGATATTCGCTGCTCCCGCTGGTGATGGTGGGTCATCGCTAGCGGCCGAACACATGCCCAAAAGGATTCCACGCAGCATGTAGTCAATAAATTGATCAATTAAGCAAGATAATTAATTAAAAATTACGAAAGCAGGCAAAGGAACTCAAATTTCTATGTACAGTGCAGCACAACCAACTTTACACCACTGGCGTGTCCGCTGGTGCTGATGCACCGCATTGGGTAGGCGATGCAAGCACTGCAGAACACCGTTGTTGTCTTTTTTGGCTGTTTCCTATAACCACTTTCATGTAATTAGAATTTTAATTTGTTTAACTACACATACGAAAGATGTGCAGTGAAAAGACGTAGAAGACAAGCAAAGAAGTGCCGCCATGTTCTCAGCGACCATTATCAGGTCCGGCGGCTGGGCCCCATGCACGTGGCTTGAGGGGTATTTGATTTGATCTAAAAAAGCAACTAAAAGGTGTAGAATTACACATATTCCGATTTAGATGTTGTGCGTGTGTTTTAGAAGCCATCGTAATTCTGCTCCTTAACGGAGGAGAGCGCAGCAGCCTTCCTGTCTGGTGACAGGACCGCTGGGGAGTCTGCTAGTGACTCTCCCGTGTAGTTCCCCTACTTTCTTTTGCACTAATATTACTTCTTCTTACCTTCTAAACTCTCTTTTCCCTCTTTCCTTCTGTAATGCGAAGCCTCTGGCCCTCCTCGAGAGCACACCCTGACCGTCTTACTGTTGGTTGGGCCCCTGTCTGCTGTTTGCTGCACCTCCGCCAGTGTGGTTGATTCACTTTTGGGGATCACCATAAAAAAGCACACCCAAGTGTTCCTAGACCTGCTGCCATCGGCTTGAAATGGCCACATACAAAATATTCAGCTAAAAAAGCGTGTTTTATTTTCTTCTCTGATCTAAAAACAAGAAAGCTAAGGAAACGCACTGCCTCAGTCAGTTGGTCAGAGGCATAAAGTACGGCGCACCTGCTGCTCTACGAGCAATAGCGCTGGCCAGAGCGAACTGAGTCAAGGGCAACATCTGCTGCTCTTGCTGCAGCTGCTTTTTTTTGTATCAACGGGGCTACAGGATCCCCTGTTATGCCCCACAAGCATGGAACTCTCTGCTGCCTCCAGGGGCATCGCAAGAAGCCCTAAGGGCGCCAGCATCCCGCCTCTTGAAGATTACTCCTGCGTCCCTCTAGGGGCCTCCGCGGAATCTCCAACCTCACAAGGGTCAAAGGGCGTACCCCTGGGTCCCCGGAGTTCCAGCCAAGATAAGGCAACAGTAAATGCTGTACGGCTCTTGACGCGTCATGGAGATGAAGAGGAACGGGGCCCTTTCCTTTTTTTGCTCGATAATTACTTGACTGTGCAAGACGAGGCATCACCGCAAGCAGCAGCAGAAACAAAACAGAATAAAGGATGCAAATCGGTGCAAGCAGAGCAAGGCAACAACAGCAGAACTAGCAGCAGCAGCAACAACAGAAGCGCCACTAGCAGTTTGCTACTGCACCCGCTACAAGCAAGGAGATCGTCTGAGCAGCAAATGGCAGAAGCCCTTCAGCAACAGCAACAAAAGCAGCAACAGCGACAGCTGCAGCAAGATTGCCATCACCAGCAGGCAGACCTTGAACAGGAGCCACCACAACAACAACAGAAACAGCAACAGCAGCAAGAACATGAGAAGCGACAGGACCAGGAGCAGCTGGCAGAGCAGGAAACGCACCAGCACCAGCAGCAACATGACGATCAGCAACAGCGTCAACAGCATGACGAGCAGCAACAGCAGCAACAGCAACATGACGAGCAGCAAGAGCTGCAACAACAGGACCAGCAACAACATCAGCAACAGCACGACAAGCAGGAACAGCAGCAACCGCAGCAACAACAGGAGCAGCAGCCCCTAAGTGCAGTCGGCCCAGAAGATAGGGAAGAAGGGGAGGAGCAGCCGCAAGATCGTAATCAGCAGCAACAACAGCAGCAGCAGCAACAACAACACTTGCAACAGCAGGGGCAGGAGCAGGAGTGGGAGCGACGTCCAGCACGACGAAATTCGACTGCTGACAAGAAACGCCTCAAAGACATGCGAGCTCAAATGAAGGCAATTTTCAAGTGAGCAAACACTCCTCATCGCCGCAGAAGCAGCAGCTGTCCCAGGCGCGACATAACCTCAGCCGCACCAACAGCGACAGCAGCAACAACAGCAAAAAGAGGAGTTGGATTTGGAGGCGTAGCAGTATCAGGGAAGTTTCTAGGGGTATTGTTGGGCTGTGTTATGTGTATGGCTGGTGGTGCTTTCTTTGTGTTTATTATCTACTGCATCTGCGCATGCATGACGATTTCCTCGCAGGCAATTGGCTAAAGACGCGGAAGGCGGGCGCCGACTTTGGTCAATGGGCTCTTTAGACCGCACAGCTCTCCTCGAGTTTATAGCAAATGCCCCTGGGCTACTTGGCGAAAGGCTCTTCCAAATCTTCGACTCAAACAATGACAACAAAATTTCATTTAAAGAATTCGCACTCGGTCTCCAACGCGCCTATGCGCCAGACCAAGAAACGCAAATGAAATTCCTATTCAACTTGTGACGCCTCCACATACCCACATGTCGAGTTACCGAGCCTAACCAGCTAACCAGTTAGCTAGCTAGCTAGCTAGGGATATAAACGGCTAGCAGGCTAACGTGGCTACCAACGAGCTCACCAGCGACCTGCATAAATACCCATCTAAAACAATGCGATAGCTGTCCATCCCGTCGACCTAGCTAGACAGCTAGATAGATAGCCGGCTAGCCAGATAGGTTATCACCCAGCTAGCTAGACATGGGACTCCGCCTGCCAGATTGGTGTAGCTACTAGCTGTCCAAACGTTCATACATACCCCCACACCACACCAACTTGGCTGCTTCTGTTCATGCTGCTGCTGCTGCTGATGGTGTGGTTCCAGATATGACTTGGATGGAAACGGCTTTATTGAGAGGCCGGAGCTCTTTGCTTTGCTTTACAATCTGCCGGCGCATTTGTGGCTGGCACCTACTGCTCCAGGGTGTACAGGCAGCCGCAGTCTGTCGCCATCAGGTGTATCGGCAACTCCGCCCCAAGGGGAGGCCAGCCCTCCTTCCACAATTCCCAGAAGGCTAACTGACGCAGAAAAGAAAGAAAGGGTCCAGCAGATTGTAGACCTCGTCTTCGCAGCCAAGGAAGAAACTCAGAACCAGCAGCAACAGCAGCAACAGCTACAGCAACAGCTGCAGCTACAGCAACAAATGCAGCAGCAGCAGCAGCAGGGCCAGGAGCACGACCTCAAAGAGCAGCAGCAGCCGCAGCAAACACTCCCGTTGAGACAGCGTCGTAGACGGAGTGATGTTTTTGTAAGGAGTCTTCTGAGCCCTCGCCATTCTCTGAGTTCGAAGACAGCACCACCTTCACCGGCAGCAGCAGCAGCAAACCGCGGCCTCACCTTTGAGGACTTTATTCGGGTTTCTGCCACAGTTCCAGAGTTAACAACCGTACGTCCACAGGACAATTTGCCTCTTCCTTGCATTATGCTGTTGCTGGTGTTGGTGCAGCTCTTGCTGTGGCTGTTGCTGATGCTGCCGTTGCTGTTGCTTCTGCTACTGCTGCTGCTGCTTCGAAAATGCCGTATACCTGCATGGTCCCCCCTCCCCCCCTGCCCCCCCGCACACACACAAAAAAAACACACACACACAGCACTGCCTTTCGCTAACTGGGGAGGAGGAGGTATTTTGCTGCGGTTGGTGTTGTTGTTGTTGCTGCTGCTGTTGCTGTTGCTGCTGCAGCTGCTACAACTCTTTGACAACCATGCCTTCCGCCCGCTGTTGGCGCACTACAAGGGCTTGTGGGACGGCCCTTCGGTTTCTTCCCCGACACCATGTAAGCCAACGCTTTGTTGCGGCTGGTGGCGTTGCTGCTTGGTGCTGCTTCCTTCTGATTGCAGGTGGTGCGGCCTGCTGCCGCTTCTTGCTTCAATGAATATGCTACTAATATAGCTGTAGAGGAGTGAGTCTGCTCCTGCTGCTACTGTCGTTGCTGCTCTCCTCAGCGGAAGATATTGGTGGTGTTTCGCCCAGTCCTGGGAGCATCAGCAGCAGCAGCAGCAGGCATACACGGGTCAGTAAACGCACTGCTGAGGGCGTAAAATCATTATACTTGTTGTGCAGCTGCAGCTGAGCCTGCTGATGCTGCAAGATCTGATGTATCTCTTACAGCTGCTGCTACGATTGTACTGAATTTACATCGGTGTTTCTGCTGCAGAGTCCGCTGTCTCCTTCACCTGCTGGTAGACCGTCAACTCCGGTAGAGTACACAGAAGACGGGAAGTCTGGAGAGCTGAGGGGCGGGAGCCGCGGCAGCAGCAACACCTGCAGCAGCAGTAGGTCCAAAGTGGACGGCCCCTGCGGAGTCGCTGCTAACGCCCGCGGCCAGCAGCTGTTGCACCCATCTTCTGCTCAGAAGAAACCTGCAACAGCAGCACCAGCAGTACCAGCAACAGTATCAGCAGCAGTACCAGCAGCAGCAGCATCAACACCAACAACAGCAGGGGAGTCTCGCTCAGCTTCGCTGGGTTTTAGCGGTAAAGGCTGTATCTCGCCGAGCAGCAGTATCAACAGTAGCAGCAGCAGCAGTATGGGGGGGCCCTCGTCAGCCAGCAATATTGGCAGCAGCAACGAGAGAAGCTGCTCTACCAGCTGCTATTCTACAACGCCCAGAAGCAGCAGCAGAACACCCGCCAATACTGCTGCTGCTGCTTCTATCCTTTCAAGCTGTGCCTCCTGCGCTGGTTGGCTTTGGAAACGTAAACACCCTTTCTCAAACCCTGAGCCGTATACCCTAAACCCCTAACCCACCTCCTCTAACCGTTGAGTCTAAACCATAAACCCTAGACTCTAAGGTCTTGCCTTTGAGAGGTTTTTGCTGCAGAGGGCCGCCACTTCAACCTTTGGACGAAAAGATATTTTGTGCTCAAAGAACGCGTCCTTTACTGTGAACCCAGACCCTAAACCCAAAACAATACACCACAGGCTTTTAAGCCTAAACCCGGAACCTTACGCTTTAAACCTGAAACCCTCTACTGGAAAACCTTAGCTTCGAACTCTAAATGCGAGCACGATACCACATCAACAACTGCGCAACAGGAGCAGGGAGCTTCATTGTCAACAGTTTAGGGAATGGGGTTTAGGGTTTGGGGTTTGGTTTTTTCAGCCTTTAGATCGCCTGCCCACGACAGTTCTACCAGCACAATACTGCTGCGAGATTGTGTCGCATCTGTGCACAGTGAGTGTCCACCAAAGAAGATTCAAAGCCTAGACCGTGAACATTAGGCCTGCCTGTCTGCTGTGGTGTTCTAAACACTCATCTAGGTAGCTTTAGGCTTCAGGGCTGGTTCCGCAAAGCCCCAGCGGTGTGGATTGCATGTGTAGTTGATGGTTGAGGGTTGAGAATTTGGCCTTCAGGGCTCCTTGTTTAAGGTTCAGGGTTTGTGAACAGGGAATCCAACGCCCCGTGGTGTCCGCAGCAGCCACAAGCCTGGGAATGTTTTGTTTGGTTTTGCAATTAAGAGCAGCGACGGGAGAGTTCTCAAAACTCTCTATGCTGAAGACTTGGAGGACCGACAACGGTTAGGATTTAGAGTCTAGGGTCTAGGGCTTAGGGTTTAGGATCTAGGGGTTCCATTGTCCCTTGCCTGCTGCTGCACCACTATCAACGCCTTCGTAACACTCTGCTACCATTTTCAGCATCTTTAGGAGCAGCAGCATCTTTAGGAGGAGCAGCAGCATTAGCAACACCCGTGGTATGAGCAGCAGCAACAGCAACAGCAACAATTGTCCCCTCATTACTACCCTTTCCATCATTGCGACTAGCGGAGGCAGCGGCTGGAATTATCAGCAACTCCATTTCCTGCAGTGGCAGTTGCTCCACTAGCAGATGTTGCACCATCGGTTCTTTTGCAGCAGAACTTTTGCAGTAGCAGTTGGTTGCAGCAGCAGTTTTTCGTTGGCGTTTTGCATGTAGAGGTCCTACGAATATGATTTGTGATTGGTATTTTTGTTTGTGTTTTTGCATTTGTTTCGTCTTTTACAGTTGGGTTAAGGCGCTGCAACAGCAGAACTTTGCTGCAAATTTTCATGATTGTTTCTCCCTTGTGGGTGGCCCACCTTTAGGTGTGGGGCAGCACAGCTGCGTGCGGCTTGCGGTGGAGAGAAGAACTCTACAGAAGGCAGCAGTTAAAATTCTTAATAAACAAACCCTCAGCAGCAGCAGCAACCGGTACGAGCAACATTCGGGAACAAGCTAAAGGCTTCGGTTGCGGGCTTACGGGTTAGGGTTTACCTTGCTTAAGCCATTGAAGCCTTCGTTCAGGGTGTGAATAGCGTTCTATCTCTGCTTGGGAGTTAGTCCCTATTGTTTAAAGTCTAGTGTTTAGCTTGTACGGTATAGGGTTTAGGGTTTAGTCCATGAGGCTTAGGATTTATTGTTTAGGGTTTACAGCCTAGGGTTGCGGGCGTAGGGTTTGTGTTTCTATCAGGGATGGAGTGCGAACGGAGCTGCAGATTTTATCTTTGCTGGACAGTCCGTTTGTGGTATCGTTTTGGGGTTCTTTTGAAACTCCAGAGTATTACTACTTGGTGACTGAATATCAGGAAAGAGGAGACCTCAGGGGTCTCATCGACTTGGCACTTGTTGTGCAGCAGCAGCAGCAACAACAGCAACAGCAGCAACCGGAGCAACAACAGGAGCAAGAGCAACAGCAGCAGCAGCAGCAATGGAAGCAACAGGACGGGTGGGCGGAAAACAGCGGGAATGATCCTGATTCTACCGCTCCTGCTGCTCCTCCTGCTGCTGCTCCGGCAGTGAGGGAAGGCGCGGGTGGCACCGAACCGAAGGACCAGAAGCAGCCCGAGCTGCAGCAGCACCACCAACACCAGCAGCAGCAGCACCAACAGCAGCGCAAGCAGCAGCAAGGACTGATTCCGGTTGAAACTACGAAGAGGATTCTGCGTTCAGTGCTTTTGGGGCTGCAGCATGTGCATGCAAAAGGAGTAGTTCACAGAGACATTAAGCCCAGCAACCTCTTGCTGTGCTTTGAGCAGCAGCAGCAGCAGCAACAGCAGCAGTTGACGAGAAGCAGCAACAAGGACCCACGTGGAGGGGGTGATGCCGCAAATGCCTTCTTGCACTTGCCTGCTGTGTCTTCAAACAGATCGGTAGACGCTGCTGCTGCTGGGGCTTCGGCTGCTGCTGCTGGGGAACTCCGCAGCGTATCCATAGGTAGCAGCAACAACAGAAGCAGCAGTAACACCGGCAGCACCAGCAGCAACAGCAGCAGCGGTACGACCACAGAGTTGCAACCTCTCGGAGAGGCCATTGCAAGTGAGCGGCAACAGCTGGGGCCCGTTTAGCAGCAGCAACCGTTGTAGTTGCCGCTCCTGTTGCTGCTTTTGCTGCTGCCTTTACAGCTGCTTTTGCTGTTGCTTCTGCTGGCGCTGCTGTTGTTGCTGCTGCTGGTGCTGCTGGTGCCTGTGTTGCTGCTGCTGCAGTTGACAGCTGGTGCAAACATCTAGAGGAATTCAACGACTTAACGGCGAACTTGCGTTGTTGCTGTGCTGCAGCTGCTAAAGCTGTCGCAGCAACTGCAGCAGCAGCAGCTGCAGCAGCTGCTGCGGCAGCAGCCGCTGCACCTCAAATCCAGGTGCTGTCTCCGTCTCGGAAGGTCCTTGCCTGTATAAACCCTTGCCCACAGCAGCAACAGCAACAGCAACGCAACGCTGTTGCTTCTGTCAACGACCCCAAATCCGTTTCGCTGGAAGCTGGCCTCTTCCCGATCTTGTCGGAGGCAGCTGCAACACAGGGACAAACCCCATCAGCAGTACAAGCAGCAACAGCGATAAATCCAGCAGCAGCAGCAGGCCCAAAAGTAGTTTCGCCTATAGCAGGGGTGCCCGGAGCAGCAGCACTGCAGCAAGCAGAAGGGGTAGCCACATCCGCATCTGCAGGTGCACTGGAGGCGGCAGCGGCGGCAGCAGCAGCGGAAGCGCTTGACATGCAGCGGGTGTTTGAAAGTGCATGCGAAGATCTAAAGGGCGTTAAAATAGCAGACTTTGGTCTTGCGCGTTTTCTTGGTACTCAAAATGTGTCTCCCCTCGAATATTATCTGATTTGCTTTTTTTGTTCCCTTTTCGCAGTTTTTCATTTTATTTGTTCTATTTCTGTTTTGTGTTTGCTCTTCTTCAATTCGTAACTCTTCGGGCATTTACGCCTTCTGCCCCTTTGGCTTTCTCTGTTTTGTCTAAGCCGGCTTTTTATGTTTTGCATATGTGTGTCTTCTTGCTAACATAATACAAACACAACTATATAAAACAAATAGAGCGAATGTATAATAAAAATAAAAAATTTGTATACAATAAAAATAAGACAAATATATAATGCGAATAATGCAAGTATATTATAACGGTTTTGTTTATGCTGCTACGTTTTGTTAATGCTGCCTTCATACGTATATATATGTATGCATATATATGTAGTTCAGCAGTCTATACCTATGCGCATATTTAGTCATCTCTCTTTGTATTTATCTGTGCTTTATTTTGTTTGATTATTTTTAATTCTATTTTTACTGTTTGTTTAATTCTCTCTTGTGGTGCTTTAAGGGCCTACCTCCGGCGCAACAGAAGTGGCCGGCACCCTAGCGTATGCAGCACCCGAGGTGGGCTCCGTTGGTGCTGCTCCTGTTGCTGCTGCCGTTGTTGCTCCTCTTGCTGCTGTTGCAGCAGCTGCTGCAACTGTTTTTGCTGCATTATTGTCTAGCATTTCTATCCCGCTGCTGTGGAACTGACTGAACTCGGTGCCGCCACTTAGACCCCTAACCCTAAACCCTACACAGTAAACGCTAAATACTTTGTGTGTGCAGGTGGTCTTGGGGGACTCTTATGACTACTCTGCTGATCTGTGGAGTGTAGGGGTGTTGTCATTTGAGCTTCTTACCAGCGGCCGCCTCCCTTTCACTGGCTGCACAGCAGAAGAAGTCAAGCAGTGAGGGTTTATGAGGGTTTATGGGGTTTATGAGGGCGTATGAGGGTTTGTGAGGCTCTTCAGCGACCTCTATCGGTTAATGCTTCTATTGGGGTTAGTGGGGTTTGCTGCAGGTCTAACAAACTGTCACAAACCCTAGTGCTCCCTTACAAACCCTAATGCACTCTTAATAAACCCTTACTACAATCTCACAAACCCTAATTAACTTTCACAATCACCTAATACATTCTTATGAACACTCGTACACCCCATACACCCCCAATGATGATGATTATTATACTAGTAATTTTGTTTATTTCTTTCTTTGTTTGCAACAGGAAGATCCTTTCCTTAGATGGCAATGAAAGGATGTTTAACTTCTTGGGCCATGGAGGCCCTGAGGCCGTCGACTTTGTGCTGCGGCTGTTGGCCCCACAGCAGCAGCGAATAACCAGCACAGAGGCCCTGCAGCATCCCTTCCTCTCCTCTTGAATCCAGCAGCAGCTGCTGCGGCTGCTGCTTCTACTGAGGCTGTTGCTTCTGTGGCGGAAATTGCAGGCGTAGCAGCTAGCTCCTTAGGATTGGGGTTGGTGCACCCACTTAGCTAGCTGGCTAGCTAGGTGGGTGCTTGGGTAGCTATCCAGCTAGCTACAGGAGATGCACAAAGAATGACAGCAGCAGCTGCCGTTGCTGTTGTGCCTCAGGCGCACTCTCTTCCTTTCACCCGGAAACAGCTGTTTATCTCATTTTTGCTTTACACGGGGAAATGTGACGACGGGGTTCCAGAGGGTTTAGGGTTTACGGTTGATGGGTTGGGTGGATTTTGCGCGGTCGGCATGCTATGTACATGCTGCAAAAGTGTACTTTGTATAATACGTGCTCGATGCGTTGCAATAATATTAATTTGACTGCGAAGGACTCGACGGTCTTCTTGTGCGACTGAAACCTATCAATCCAGTGTCTGGGCGTGGGCAATAAAAACTTAACCCTAAGTCATAAACCACTGAAAATATTAGATTATGCTCACAAAATGGGGTGGGAGAACACAATCCCTAGGTCTTTAACACTAAACCCAAAACCCTTAGCCCTTCGGCTCTAACTCACAGCCTTGTTGCGTTGTGTGCTGCCATTCTTTCAACCACCTTTTACCTCAGTTGGAGGTATTTTTAGATAGGTAGGAAGATATATACTCCTCTTCTTTCTCCTCGAGGCGATTATACCGCTGTTAAATCAGATAAAAGTAGAATTAAAGTTCACAAATATATCCACCTAATGTTTAACGTTTAGGGTTTAGGACGTATCAGAGGGTAGTCGGGAGTCGCGGGAGTCGGCGTCCCTGCAATTGTAGGGGGAATGGGCGGCAGTACGAAGGTAACTGACTTTAAAATGTTTTTTAGGGCGCTTACGAAAGCTAATTTAAATTAACAAGTGAAATATATCCATAAAATTGGAAAAACGAGAAAACAATGGAATACCGTGCTCTGTGCTGCGTGGGCCAAATCCGCTGTAGTGCTATAGTGTGGGGGACTTAGGTATGTCCTATAGGGAGCTATCTACCGAAAGGGGAAATAAATATTGCGAGAATATAGTAATAAAAACACCTTTAGTTAGACAGACGGCTTAATGATAACCGAGGGACATCCGGCCGCAACGGCTGGGGACTTGGTGTATGGCCGACGACACGACTCTGCGCCGACCCCTGGCAATGTTATGGGGGCGGTCCAGAGGATCTCAGGCAGAGTTGGATCCTTACACAAAAAGGGGGGATCTATTTATCTGGGGACTTCCCCAGAAGATAACAGAGACTCGAACTTATTTTGACATATAACCGTTGATCCGAGGATAGACTGGCCGCAGGCCTACATGGGTATAGCGTAGGTCGCCGTGCGCTACAGCCGCAATCTGCCTATGCGTTGGAAACGAAGGGTGTGAGGGGTTAAGTGAGCACCTAGAGTCAAATCATGTTTTTGGTAAGAACGTTTCAAATTACAAAATATAATTTTGAGAGACAAATACTGTTTAAATTGCTGTTTAGTGTGTAGGGATAAGGGGTTGGGCTGCTGGCAACGTGAACTGATGCTCGGCGTGCCGTGCAAGGTTGCTGCTGCCTTCCCCCATTGTTTTTGCGTGACTGGTGTTTTGCCTTAAATATTAAGTCCAAACATTGGAATTTGTTTATTACTTTGTTGCAAACCCAAAGAACGAGAGGGTCGCCTCTCCCCGCAGCCTACGGTCGGCGCCCCGCGGCGGCGTTGTGCCCACTTAATCGTAAACACATAATCACTTGACCCTATAACCCAGACACTAAGCCCTAAACCCCAATTTTATTTCCCCACGTTCAAAAAGCGGTTACCCCTTTTATCATAAACTCAACTTCTCTTCCGAGAAGCCTTCAGCCAACAGACCCGACGTGGTGTGCGACGGAGATAGCACATCCAGCAGCAAGAGCTGCAGCAGCAGCGCGAAGGCGAGGACGGCCGCTGCATACATAATAGCGGCGGCATCATCTGCAGCAGCAGCATCGACAAGACAAGCAGCTCGAGTTGTTGTCGGTTAGCTCATGCTGCATTTTAGACACCGTCCTGAGCAGCCCGTAGGGTTTCAACGTCATATCTGCGTGGCTAGGGTTTAGGGTTTAGGGTTTAGGAATGGCTTCGAGAGAGACTGCGGTATCTGTGCCGCCCTCTGAGGGAACCGCTGAAATCCCCTCCCCCAAAGAGGAACGAATTCCTTCAGGGGCCCCAGATGGGGACCCTGAGGGGGCCCCTCTGGACCCCCCCGAAGGTCTGCCTCTTAAGGCGAGGAAGAAGCGGGAGCATCGAGCAGCACATGATGCAACACCGCAGCGGCAGCGGGTCCCCCCTCTTTCGCGACGTCGGACCCGCAGTTCAGCTGCAATTGAAGCGGCCCCTCATGAGATTGTTGGAGAGGCCCCCTCTCCCCCCTTAGCTGAGAACAGTCCTGTTTGGGGGCTTCTTGACGGGGGGCATTCTCCGCTAAACCTTACATCTTTGCGTTGGAGCAGTCCCCCGTCGCCGGCATCTCCATCTGTTGTTGCCGCAACGAAAACAGTCCAACAATCAACAACAGAGGCCGCACCAATGCAGCAGAAACAGCAACAGCAACAACAGCAGCAGCAACGGCAGCAACAGCAACAGCACCAGGAGGAGGATATGGAGTACCAGCAGCAGCATCAGCAGCAGCAGGAACAGTGGCGGCCCTTCCCCTACGAATTGCCTGACGGAGGAACCCCAGACATAGGGACTCCTACTGCCCCTGAAGCCCGCCCGAGGCGGCCCCAAGAGGCCCGAAGAGGGACGGTGGAGACTGGGGTCCTCCCTTCTTCTGGAGACGCAAATGCTCTGGCCAAATGCTGCAGCAGCAACGTGGCAGTGAGCAAAGCACCAGAAAAATGCAGAAAAACGAACAGAGAACAAAAGGAAAGTAAAATACAGGTCAAAAGGGGGCAAAAGAACAACAGCAACAACAGCAGCAGTAACAAACAAAGCCGCTCACAAACAAATATTCATAAACAGCGCAATCACCTGGACAGACACATGCAGCAGCAGCAACAACAGCAGCAAAAGCAGACTGAGACAGAAGATGGGAAGAGAATATCTGCGGCAACTGCAGGAAGGGAGGACTCTACAGGGGTAGCCTCATCAGTAGGGGCCCCAGCAGCAGCAACAATTTCCGCCTCCCATGCTCTACCTGCTGCTGCTTCTGCTGCTAAAGGAGGTGCAGCAGGAGCAAAGCCAGGAGCAGAGGCTCGCGGAAGGGAGGACTCCGCCCTTTGTCCAATTGTAGCAACAGCACCAACAGCAACAGCAACGGAAGCAGAAGCGGCAGCTGCAGACGCACCAGCAAGAACAGCAGGAACAGCATCAGGAGACGCAAAAGCAGCAAAGGAAGCACCAGCAGCTATTTCAAAGGCACCAGCAGCCGGGCCCGAAACAGCTGGTGGTGGTGGTCCAGCAGCAACAGCACAAGCACCAGCTGGTACAGCAGCAGCTGCTGCTACAAGCCATCAGAAGGCTGTCAACAAAAAAGGTTTAATTGCTGCTCTCAGGGCGGCATTTCCTCATTGCCCCTTCGCGTCCCTCACCTCTCCTCAACCAGCTGATGCTGCTCCCCTTGCTCTTGCTGCTCCTACTGCTGCAGTTTGTGATATCACGCATGCCTCTACGCCGTCTGTTGCGCCTGCTGACACAGGAAAGGAAGTGCTTAAAGAGGAAGCTACCGGCACTGTTGCTGCTGATGCTGCTGCAGAAGCTCCTTGTGCTCCTGATGCTGCCCCTGCTGCTGCTGCTGCTCCTGCTGCTGCTGCTGCTCCTGCTCCTGCTCCTGCACCTGCTGCTCCTGCTGCTGTTCCTGCTCCTGCTGCAGTAACAGATACTGTCGCTTCCGCCCTGCATGCCGCTGCTCCCGGTGCTTTTGTTGGTGTTCGCCGTTTGTCCAAACAGCTGCACCCGCAGCAGCAACAGCAGCATACAGCGGATTCTGAGCCAAGCACAGCCATGAGGAAAAGTTCCATAGCAGCAGCACTAGCAGCAAATTCAGAGGCTCCTGAAGGCATCATGCATACGGAAGGAGGCTGCAGCAACAGCACAAGCCGGGAGAACAGCAGCGACAGCAGCCAGAGCCACCGCAGTTTCAGGACACGTGCTGCTGCTGCTGCAGTTGCTGCTGGCGACAGGCGAAGAAGGACGGGAGGGTTTCGGCAGCAGTGGAAGCTCCCCCTTCAGCATGCAGCACCAAATACAGCAGAAGCAACATCAGCAAGAAATACAGAAGCAGCAGCAAAAGCAGCCAAAACAACATTAGCAGCAGGAGCAGCAGCAGCACGCCCCAAGGAGCAGCATACGGCAAAGCATCGCCTGCGGAGCAGCACTTCTGCCCCTATTGCAATTCCCCTAGAGGGAAGCTTTCCTGCTGATGCTTCTGCTGCAGCACATCACCGCAGAGACAGCACCAAGCGTGACTCGAGAGCAGGATGCACAAAAGCAGCAACAGGCGTACCCGTACAGCAGCAGCAGGAACAGCGGCTGCTGCTGCTTCCTCAGCCCGATGCTGAGCCATTCTGTAATATTTGGCCGTCTGCTGCTCATGGAAAGGGGTCCGGCAGGTTGGCAGCAGCAGCAGGGGCACGGGATAACCTTGCTGCTGAGGACGGGCCGTGCGCCGACAGCAGAAGCACCAGCAGGCGTGAAGCCCTTGGCAGCACCAGAAGCAGCAGCTACAGCAGTATCAACCGCAGAGCAAGTGGCCATAACCTGAAACCTCCTGCCCGAAGGGCAAACAGCAACGACAGCAGCAGCAGCAACAACAACGGCAACCGCGAAACCAACATCAGCAGCAGCAAAAGCGAGTTGAGTACCATATTACGGAGAACCCACAGCATCAGCAGCAACTGTAGAAGCAGCAGCAGCATTAACACTAACACCAGCAGCTACTGCAGTAGCAGCAACAAGCTGAATGCGCGGTCTTTGTTGGCTCGGCCGCCTATTGACAGGCACAAGGGGCCTCATTTCTTGGGAAGGGCCCCTGTTTTGGGGTCCCCCCCCAAAGCTCGTTTTGGTACCCAATGTTGTTCAGCGTTATTTCAGCGGCTCCACAGAACAGTCGCGAGCTCAGGTGAAGCCTATAGGAGCGATGAATCTGCTGCTGCTGCTGCTGGCAGGGGAGAGGCATCTGCTGCTGCAGTTCTTCCTGCTGCCGGTCCAGCTCCTGCTGGTGTTGCTGCTGTTCACAAGAGGAGATGCGGCAATCTAGCAGGTCTTTGTTTACAACAGCCGAGGCCGTCTCCTGCCTCCTGTCGGGTGGAGGAGGAGCAGCAGCAACGGCAGCAACAGAAGCAGCAGCGCCAGCCCGAGCTTAGCATCCTGCAGAAGCGGAGATTGCAAACGTGGCTGCAGGAACACCGGCAGCAGCAGCTGTTGCAGCACGACGGAGCGCAGCAGCAACTCTGGAGGTGTGAAGGTGACTGCAGGGATAGTAGCAGTAGCAGCAGCAGCAGCAGCAAAGGCGGCAAACGGCGCCGGAGGAGGCAGCAGGTGCGCATACGGCTTCTTGCGGATCCCTGCACAGGGAGCAGCAGCAGCAACAAAGAGCAGCAGCAGTGGCATTCCTGGCACCCCAGGTCTCATACAAAATTCCTTAGTGGCACACAGCTGCACCAGAAAAAGCAACGGCAAGAGGAGCAGCAGCAGCTCCTGCTTCACCAAGAACCTTCTGAGGCTTCGTTCTGTGAACGAAACAAATTCTTTAACTTAACACGAGTTTCGAGCATCACACAGAAGCAGCACCAGCTGCTCCTGCTGCAGCAGCAGCTGGAGGAGGAGGAGAAGCAGCGCCAGCAGCAAACTGCCTGGAGAGGGACCCAGGATGGCACTGGTGCTGCAGTCGGTGCTTTCGAGGCTGCTACTGCTGCTGATATTTGCAACTCGGGAGGTGTAGCAGCAGCAGCAGCAGGAGCAGCAGATGAGGCAGAGCTAACAACAACAGGAAGAGCAACAGGAACAGCAGCATCAACACATAGTGCAGCAGTTCTATTTCCTGCAGCTGCATCTCGCGATTTCGCTTCGGCTACTGCCTATCGAAAGCTCCAGCAGAAGCAGCAACAGCACCCGCAAGAGCAGCAGCAACGGCAGCATCTGCGGTTGCGGCGGTCGCAAGATAGGCGGTCGCTGCTCATGCACCAGCAGCCAGAGGAGCAGGATCAGGTTCAGCAGCAGCATTTGCCGGGTTCTTTTGCCTTAAGGCAGCAGCTGAGGCTCCTAAAATCCTATCAAGGAGCTCTCTCTCGCTTGCCGCTAAGTCGTCGCAGACGCCGTTCAACCACCACCAGCAGTAGTAGTAGTAGTAGTAGTAGCAGTAGTAGTAGTAGTAGTAGTAGTAGTAGTAGTAGTAGTAGTATCACCAGCAGTAACACCACCACCTGCAGCAATGAGAAGTGCTCAAGCCGCAGGAGTCACCGCAGGTGCAGAAGCAGCAGAAGACAGGATGTGAAACGGCAGCAAACCCAAAACTTTAGGGGTCACTTAGCAGGAGGAGGGCTCATCGGTGCTGCCAGCAGCACCAACAAAAGCAGCAGCAGCAACAGCTTTTTCGTTTGCCGCGAGGCAGTGAAGGGTTTATGTGAAGAAATTATGAGGGAAGTCCTGCCTGGGCTGCTGCAGCACGCTGCAAGTGCTGCTGCTAGTGCTGCTGCTGCTGCTGTTGCTGCTGTCACCTCGACGCGCACACAGGGGATAGGCGCAGGAACCCAGCCTGCAGCACCAAATGCTGCAGCTGGTGGTGCAGCAGGTGCAGCAGTTGGTCCTGCAGTTGCTGCGGCACCAGCTGCAGCAGTTGGTGCAGCGGCAGCAGCAGCTGCTGCTGCCGCTGCAGCTGCAACGGCACCGATGCAGCAGGATGTGCCTGGTCTTGCCACTATACACCTTGGAGCGCCAAGGGATAGTAGTGCTATGGTTAATGAGCTGCAGCAGCAGCAGCAGCACTTGGAGCAGCAGCAGACACAGCGGCACTACATGCAGCATAAACATAAGCAACTGCAAAAAAAGGGGCGGCAGCACTTGGAAGTGCAACAACAAAAGCCGCAGCACATGAAACTGCAGCAACAGCAGCAGCACTTGGGACAAGAGCAGAGGCAGAATCACGAGCATCACGAGCAGGAGGAGAAGGATGAGGATCTGTTGATGGGGCAGCAGCTGCAGCACAGGGAGTTGTCGCTGGATATGCAGGAGCAATCAGGCGCCTGCGTGAGGCCGCTGTCTCCCTTTGTGATGTTGTCCGAAGACAGTTCACCGAGGCAACAGCAGCAGCAACAACAACAGCAGCAGTTGCTGCAACAGCAATGGCAACAGAGACATCATCTGGAGCAAGAAGAACACCAGCGACTGCTGCAACAGCAGCAGCCGTGCAGGCAGCACGGAAGGCAGCAGCGGTTTCCCGGTGTGAACCACCAGCGAGACCTGCAGCAGCAGCAAGTGGAACAGGAACGTCAGCAGCAGCAGCTGGAGCAAGAACACCAACAGCAGCAACTGAGTGTTTACGAGGTTAAGAGCGAAGATGAAGCGGCAGGCCCTAGTGCTGGACTCTCCCCGACACGATCGAATTACAGCCATGCTGCAGCACCAGCACCAACAGAAACAACATCAACAGCAGCGGCAGGAACAGCAACAGCCGGAACAATAGAAGCAGCAACAGAGGACTGCGTTTTATGCATTCGCAGCAGCAATAGCAACATCATGGCAATTGAAACTAAGAGTGACATAGAAACAACAGGGGAGATCTTATTAGGCCCATCCGTTGGGGATGTATGGGGGAACAACAGCTCCCCAGCAGCAGCAGCAGGGCCAACAGAAGCTGTTGCTGCTGCTTCTACTACTGATTGTGCTGCTGCTGCTCCCCACGAGTCTTCGGATGAGTGCATGCAGCAGACCCTACCATGCTGGAAGGAGGAGAAGGAGGAGGAGGAACACGAGCAGCAGCAGGCTGGAGCAGAGCCAGACTGTGTTGCAGCGTACGCCAAGCTCCTCCAAGAAGTGCCAGGGCCTCCAAACCAACTGGGGGGTCCCCTCTTAAAAGCAGAGCCAAGAGGAGGAGCAGAATATCCCCCATGCATGAAGCCCGTTCGACTGCGGTAATGCACCCACCACCAACAGCAGGAAGTGCAGCAGCAGCGGCAGCAGCAACAGCAGCACACCGAAAGTAGTCAAAATTGTCAGGGCTGGGAGCAGCTGTGTTGTGGTTTTCCGTCTTTGCAGCACAAGAGCTCAGGGCCCCCCCAAAACCACAGCGTGTCTGGGGGCCCCACAAAGCCGGCCCCTTTTAAGGCCTAGACGCGTCTCCAGCTGCCTCAACCGCAGCAGCAGCAGCAGTAGCACTAGCAGCAGCAGCACCGCATGCAGAGACCCTTCCAGACCTTTTCGTCTCTCCTATAACCAGCGGAGAGATAGAAGGGCCCTCATCGATCCGCTTGCAGACGCAGAGGCAGTAGAGGGCTCCCAGGGTCCCTCAGAGTCCCATATGGGGCCTCCGCAAGGGGATATAGGGGTCCGCTGCAGCAGGAAGGGGGCCCTCGAAGCCTCCAGGGCCCTCCCCGCCCAGGCAGCTGCCTCCGCGCCTCCTGATGAGGCAGCAGCCACCAGGGGGCCCCCTGTGGGGGCCCCCAGGGGCCCTCTAGCTAGGCGCGTTGGTCAGCCTGGCATAGAAGACAAGCTCGATAGCAGGGGGGGCCCATGCCGGGGGCTGTCACGGAAGGGGCCTCAAAATAGAGGGGGGCCCCCAAGTAAGGGTTTGCTGTGCAGCACGGGACCCCCTGAGGGTTTGACCGATGAAGTAGAAGGTGGAGGAGAGGCGAAGGAAAAGAAGAAAACAGCGATGGCAGCAAAAGTAACACCCTTAACCGTGAACTTACCCTACAATTATTACTACTATTGTTTTATTGCTAAAATATTATTGATTTATTGTTGTTTTTTTCACTCTTTTTACTTACTTGCCTTGTTTTTGTATGTAATTGTTTTTGTTGTTTTGTTGTTCCCATAACTGCAGCTGCAGCTGCAGCTGCAGCAACTGCCGCCGCAGCAGCACGAACTGCCGCCGCAGCAGCAGCAGGATGTTGTGTGTTTGAATGCAGGTGTCTCGATGTTTACGTGGGGTGTCTGGCGAGCGGCATTTAAAGAAAGTGTTGGAGAAGTTTTCGTATGAGGGAGAAGAAAAGGTATTTAAAATCCAATGGACAGACAACACCACCTCATGGGAGGCAGCAGACACAGTTTCTACCTTGCTGCTGCAGCAACAGCAGCAGCAGCAGCGAAACAAGCAACAGATAAAACAGCTGCATCAACAACAAAAAGCACCACAGCGGGTGAAATGCAAACAACAACAGCAGCAAAACGTGCAGCAGCAGCAGCAACAAAACCGCCAGGAGCAGCAACCACCTGCTGCAGCCAACAATGGTGCAAAAGCTCCTAAGAGGAAAACAAACCCAAACCCTAAACCCTAAATCTTAAACCATCTGTGCTGGCCACAAGCATCAAGCCTGAGAGACCGCTTCCAGCGTGCGTAGGATTGAGGGTTTACGGTTTCGTCTTTTGCAAAAAGACTGCTGTGGCTTAGCTGCCCTACGCTTCTTTTTGTCTCTCTCATACAATCTCTAACTGTATTTGTTACCGTCTCTCTACTTCTTTCCCTCTTTTCTTTACATATTTATTATTATTTCTTATTTATCTATTTTCCCCCTTTTGTCCACTTTACTCCGTTTTAAGGGCCCCAACCTCCCCACAGGCAATAAATAAAACAATCTAAAAAAGCAAAGGTTGCAAAACCCTAAGCCCTAAACCCTTGAAAGAGGGAGCGGGTAGACGCCCCATGGGTTATTCGAATGCCAGTTAATTAAAGCAAAACTCGAAACCCAAAACCCTCATTACAAAATCCGAAACCATCACCGCAAAACCCTAATTCCTAAATCTACAAGCTGGTGCCTGCTGCATTCAGGGAGTGGACTCTTGCTGCGCTTCTGCCTGCACGGGCAAACACCACATCATCAACTCCACACGTTATAACCTACGCCATTCGCCCTAAACCATAAAGCCTCGATCATAAAATAACCTCTAAACCCTCAACCATATGCCCCAAGTCCTAAACATTCACCTGTTCGTCCCCACGCCTGCTCAGGTGTTGAAGAAAACGCCGCGATTTGGGGGAATTCTTTCTGCAGAATTCCCTGCGGCACCAAACACTCAACAAGGGTTTAGTAGCGTTTACTGTTTATGGATGTTCTGGGATAGAGCGATGATTCGAGAGGTGCAATAAGATGCTGCTTTAGGGTTTGCAGATATATGCAAACCCTCACACAAACCCTTGGGAGCTAACACGAGGGTGTATTGACTGGTTTAGTTTTAGGATGGTTTCTCATTCAATTAGGGTTCATTTCCAAGGGTTTATTGATTAAATAAGGCTTGTAAGGGTCTCCAGCTGGGGTTAGGGTTTAGGGTTTGCGGATAGACGAACAAGAGCATAAGACAGAGAAGCAGAGACAATGATTGCTCCTGCTGCTTGCTGCCCGATCCCAGACGCAAAATGTCTTGGCCCCCGCATACCTATGAACAGCAGCAAACACGGCAAGCACTAAACCCTAGTAACAAACCCTAAACCCCCAAAACCGGAAGCCCCACCGCAACCTCAACCCTACTAAACCTTAAACCCTCAAGCAACTGCCATTATGTAAATTAACAAACAGACGGCACACAATATAGGCATAAGAGGCATTCAAAAGGCTCAAAGCATCCTAAACCATCAACCGTAAACCCGCCAACCAAACAAAACATTTATGAAACTGAATAGAAATGAATTCACCAGGGAACACAAGCCCCAAAACATACAGACCAAACAAGACAAATAACACATGAAAAAGAAAAGGAGAAAGGCAAACAAGGGTTTAGGTATCACTTTTCTTGTTAGGGCTTGTACGGCTTCGTAGTACTGTTGTGGCAGAGGCAGCATAGCCAAATCCCTAAACCCTAAACCCTTGCAGCAGTTGAGCTCCAACACCGCAGGGGTCATCTGCGCGCCCGACACACTCCCAAACCCTAAACCCTACAGCCTAACAGGTTGACACCAGCATTCAAAACCCTCAACTCACATCCTCTTGCTTCCTGAATAATTACCCGTATACCCTTTGTTCTAACCCATGTAGGGCAAACCCTAAACCATCAACCTTCGAAGGGAAGACGCACATGGAATTTGTTCGGGTTTACAAGCTTAAAGGGTTTGGGGTTTAGGGATTCCTCAGGCCCCTCGCTCTCAGCTGGTCCTCCACAAAGACAAACTGGAAAGGCAAAGGAGGAAATAATCAGAGACAACGACCTGAGAATCACACGGACGGCTGCCGAGGGTTTGGGGTTTAGGGTTTGGGACCGATAAAGATTATTATTATTGTTCCTTGCAGGAATCCCTAAGTTCAACAAAAGCTTTTGTGGTTTATGGTTTGCTTCTGCTGCTACAGTCTTACGGGGAATGCACAGACAGGCTGCGCGGCGCATTGGCCGGCTCTTCCTCCTGTTGCTGCTGCTGCACCTCCTGATGCTGCTCCTGCACCACCTGCTGCTGCTGCATCTGCTGCTGCGGCGGGCGGCAGATAACATTATACGGCCCCAAAGAGAGTGCCCGACTTCCGCCAAGCAGGACAGGGGGAAAACAACAAGCAACAAATAAATCGGCTCCCAACGTGTTGTCCACGCTGCACGCAAACATTAAACCCTACACCCTAAACCCTAGACCACAAGCCCTCCTTTGTTCACTGCATTCCAAAGGTTTCAAGTGTTCCTGCTACCTCGCCTCATCGGCAGCAACTCCTGAACATATCCCCTTCAGAACTAAACTCTAATCGCGAAGCATAAAACCCTAAACCCTAAACCCCCAACGTACAAGACAGCGTTAGCCCGAGTATGGAGTGTCAGGCGGCAGCAGCTGCGGACGAAGACGGGCCCCACAACCACCGGTGCAACCACTGAACACCCCGAAAGACCTTCTAAGACCAACGCCTCCACCCTGCGCGCAAACCCTAGACACTAAACCCTACACATCGTGCCATACCAAGAGCAGGCAACCGTCAAAACTCGCCAAGCCCTAAACCCTAAACCCCCAACCCTCGAGAATGAAGCCTACGGCCAAGATATGAATATGTCGGTGTTGCTGCAGGAGGAAATCCTCAAGATACGAGAAGAGCGCAAGGCCGCCTGCGAAAAAACACTAAACCGTAAATTCTAAACCCTGAACCGCTCTGCCAATCAGCCGAGCCAACCGCTCAAGCGGAATCTGGCCATAAGAACCACGAACAGCAAACTGCTAACCCTTAAACCCTAAACCCTAAATTAGGATCTTACGGAGTTCAGACATTGCAACGCCCCTTTGAGGTTTCGGACCTGAGATCGCCGAGGGAGCGCCTGTAGCAAACGCGCAACAAAAGAAGTCACTGAATCTGCCAACCCTACACCACAAAACCTAAACCTTGGGTAAACCCTAGATATTGTTGCTCCTTATCCCTTGCGAAACAAAAGCAAACACGAATAGCCATCGCTGCTCACCGCTTGCTGCTGTTTGTCTGTCAGGGTTGCTGCCCCATAGGACCCTGTAAGGCCCCTCAGCAGGTGCTGCGCACACACACACACCCAACCATCAACCCTAGATCCTAAACCCTAAACCCGAATCCTGCACAGAGATTTTTCACGTGCAAGCAGCGGGGTGCCCACGCCGCCTCTATATCTCTACAGCTGCACTTAAAACAGCTTCAACGCACCCCAATAGCAGCAGTAGTAGCAACAACAGCAGCAGCAGCAGCGACAGCAGCAGCAGCGACAGCAGCAAAGCTACTCACTCGGAGGACTCCCTTAGGCAACAGTTTGAATGGCAGCAGCGGCGATGAACCACCAGAAAGCGAAGAAGCAAGTCCTTGCATGATGTCGCTGCAGCAGCAGCAGCACACGAGAAGCAGCAGACACAGCAACAACCCTGTCTCTTGCCAATGTTGCTGCTGCTGCCTCCATCGAGACGGGTCACGTAGACTCCATCCTGCTGCCGTTGCTGTCTACTCTACAGGACGATCAGAAACGGCAGCGGGATGTAACAACAGCAGCACAGTGCGCATACAGCAGCAGCAGCGCGAAGCAGCAGCAGCAACAGACTGCAGCAACGAACCATTCCAGAAAGACCTCGAGGGCCTCCATCTCAAAGGCCGCAAGACACTCATTCGCGTCCTGCTGCTGCTGCTGTGGGTGTTCCTTTTGCGGCTGCTGCTGCTCACAACGGCGTCCACAACGAAGCAGCTGCAGCAGCTGCGGTTCGTACTGCAGCAGATGCTGCCGAATTTTGTTCGAGTCTAGGTTCCCACTGCTGCAGCAGCAAGACAACAAGAGGCAGAAGCAACAGCAGCAGCTGTGAAAGCAGCGCTGGCAACAGCAGCACCAGCATGAAAATAAGCAGCAGCACCCGGGATACTTGAGACTACAAAGCTGCTAGAGAGCATCTCATAGCAAGGAGCAACAGACGCACAGGCAACGGCAGCAGCACAAGTAACGGCACCAGCAACAGAAACAACAGCAACTGCAGCAGCAGCTGCTGCTGCTGCAACAACTGCAGCAGAAACCTGACTTGGTGTGCTGTGTCTTGCTATTAGGTAGGGATGTCTGTGTATTTCCCTCATTAAGAAATGAATCTGCTGCTGCTGCTGTTGATGCTAGCAGAGCTCTTCTAGGGGAACTCATAGAAGAAAAAAAAGGTTCCTCAGGAACAGGGAAGTTCTGCTGCTGCTGCTGCTGCTGCCGACGTGCTGCCAGCAGCAGCAGCAGCAAGAAGAGAACACGGACCTCCACTACCTCCTCCTGTGCCTCCAGCAAAGGGGGCATGTCGGGAAGCCCTGCTGCACGTAATAATCCTGCATCAACTGCTGCTGCATCAGCAGGCGTTGCTGTTGCTGCTGTTGCTGCTGCTGCTGCTGCCGCGTGGGATGATGAGTCCCACTGGGCCGACGTCCCACTAAAAAGGTATTCATTTGCTGCTGTTGCAGCAGCAGCAGCATCTGCTGCTGCCGCCGCCGCAGATGGGTAGTACAACGACGGGAATCCATCATGAACTACTGTTTGACCTTGCTGCTGCTGTTGCTGTTGTTGCTGCTGCTGCATTAAGTTGTGTCTTCGAGTTTTCTTCCGTGTGTGGAGGAACGCCAATGCTGCTGCTGCCCCCCAAATAGCGACGACCTCGTTGTCTTTAAGTGCTGGGGGCATCTGGGTCTTTTGCTTCAATCTGCTGCTGTTGATGGTACTGCTGCTGCTGATGCTGATGCGGCTGCTGCAGGTGGCTGAAGTGGCAAGACCTGCATTGAACCTCCTCCATTGTCTGAGTGAGACGTAAATGGGCTGTGGGCGTTTAGCTGCTGCTGTTGCTGCTGCTGCTGCTGGGTCTTGATCTTGTCGTAAGGAACCCTTAAGTTGATCAGGGGCCCCCCAAGGGGCCCCCAGGAAACCTAAGCAATGACTTACAACGCTCAAGACGGACCATTCAGGTGCTGGTATAGCAGAGATGAAATCTACTGCCTCCATTGATAGACGGAAAGGTGGGGCCCCCCATATAGGCGCCTCGAACTGGGGGGCCCCCATGAGGGGCCCCTCAGTCGACTGAGCAGCAGCAGCAGCAGGAAGAGAGCTGCTGCTAATCAACTTGGATGAATTTAAAGATGATCCAGCAGCAAGATGACGATAGGACGTCTCCGGTAGCCAAGAAGGAGCTGTGGATGCAGAAGGCTGCAGCAACCGGTGGTCTTGCGACTTGTGAGTGGTTGATGGAAGGTGTGCTGCTGCTACTGCTGCAGCTGCTGCTGCTGATGATGATGGAGGGTTAGAATGAGAAAAGAGTTTGTCTGTATTGAGCTGAGCCATTTTGGCAAGATGTCATGACTGGCCTAAGGCCCCCAAGGGGAAGGAAGTCCAGTAGGACTCCCCAGTCCTTGAGGTGGGTGTACACCGCAAACATGCCGACTTTGCGGGGATATAAGGCTGAAGAGACACCTCACTTTTAAAACACTATACAAGAAAGCAAACATTTATTTAAATGTTAATTATATATTCTCTCTCTTTTGCAGCAGGTCCTCTCCACTTCTTAACAACCGCCTCGCGCGCTGTGTACCCAGCGGCGGGGCTGTGGTGTTTATTTTTTTTCTACTTTTACCCTTGTACTTTAAAATATTACATATAAATATGTAAATAAATTTAGTCTTATATTTTCATTGAATATTTTTCGTTATGAGTTCTTCCGCCATGTAATGGCGGTTTTGCCGTGCATCGCTCCGGCCTGCTGAGGTGTATGTACAGCTCAAGTGTGTTTGTCTGTCGACTTCGCATTTTTGCCATTGAAATTCATTTCTAATTAGTCATAAACAATGCGTGTCCATAATTTCATGCATCTAGAGGCCCGGAGAAGGAGGAAGATGGAGGATTGTATATTGTATATATATGTTTGTTTTTCTACTAAAGCCTCTCTGCCGGCTTAGACGAATTCTATGCACCCGTGCGGATGTTATCGGGCTGTCTTGGCTCTGCCACTGTATAGACAACAGCGGCATCAAGAAGACCTAAGTGTTGTCGTTTTATTAAAGTATTTTTTATTGTTTTATTAATGTAAGAACAAGAAACTAACCATTGCCATCTGCAGTCTCTAACAGTTTTTTGTACAACTGCTCATATGTTGCTCCAACGGGAAGACCCAAATTCTTATCAGCTGCAGACAGAGTTAGCGTTTGGGGTTTAGGGTTTAGACCGGCATAAGGGTTTTACCAATTGCATAAAGAGATAAACGTATACACGAAGAACGAGAGACAGGACAAGGGCCTGAGTACTTGCCATTGTTACCAAGAGTCGCCCCTAAAGCTGTTAGGTCCGTAGAGGAGCTAATCTATAGTTTATTTAACATTATAATAAAAGTATTGTAAACACTAAAAAAGAGGTAATTAGCAAAAGATATAGGTCGTATAATTACCTACCTGGCTAACATTCTCCGGTACATCCCATGCAAGTAAATGGGGAAGCTAAGAAGGATAAAGAGTTGTAGTCATGAGATACAGAGGGATTAGTAAATATGTGTATAAAAAGAACATACAATAACTCCATCGTCGCGTGATACATCTGTTATTGTTATTGCATAAGAACCCGTGTCATAAGGGGCCCCTGTAGTAGGGAAATATATTATATATAAATTAAGTGTTAATATAATTTTTTATTTTAGAGGTTAGGGAAATATAACGGACCAGACCAAGAAAAATAAGGTTGCTGGTTACTGCTGCCGCAGGCTGCGCCAAAGCTTTTATCTGGGAGAAAGCTCTTTTGTTCTATGCTTGAGCAGCTGTAGGTGCTGAAGTCTGAATGAAATAAGTTATTTGTTTGAATAAATAAACAAGAAATTGTTTATTTATTTAAGTAAATATAATGGTATAAATAAATGATCATGTTTCTTCCTTGGTTTCTTAGAAAATAAGACGCACCAGAGCTGTCGATATGCAGCTCAGCAACAGTCGCGTTGGCACGCGATAAGAAAAAAGGAAAAAGGAATGGCAGTGCTTTCTTCGTTAGATGGAAATACATTTTAAATACTAAATAGAGAAAGTTTATCTTTTATTCCTGAAGAATGATGCAGAAGAGCGCAAGAAAAATAGGCGAAAAGAAACTCCTGAATACATGATTATTGCGGTGTATGCACACTGCAACTTTTCAAGAAATTTACAACGGGTTCAAGAGAAAATCAACAAGAGTCTAAAGAGAGGATAAAGCTTTAAATGACATTTTTAATTGCATTTCTCCTTTTAATCTCTTTTTCTATGTGCAAAAGAGGAGTATTTTTGCGCACCTGTTGTATCATTTTTTCTTGGACTTCCCTTTTTTCTTGCTTGCCATCTTCAATGGTAGGTCGAGTTGATCCATCGCTAGAAGTTGAAATAAAGCCAATTCTTTGCTATTTAAACATTTAGGAGGTGGAAGCAACCTCGCGAGGTCGCTATATTTCCCGTGTTCTGCCCAATACGCCGCATCAAACCCTGCAGAACACCAACAGAACAAAAGCCTGCATTATATTGCATGCACATATGCATCCAATCACACACAAGTGTTATTATCGTTGTACACGTTTATTGTTGAGGTGTTCCCAAGACACTAAGGGGCAGAAGGAGAGAAAAAAATGCTGTTTCTCACCCGATTTATCTGTTATTGCAGGGTTAGCTCCTGCTGCTAGCATCTGTTCTGCTGCACCTTTGCAACCAACACGAGCAGCAATATGCAGCGGCGTTTGGCCTAAAGCGTTTTGTTGATTTGGCGATGCACCGAAGGAAAGAAGACAAGCGACCATTTCTCTGAGCTGACATTCATAAACATACACAACAACCTTAAGAAATCTTGTTTATTTTGTGTTGTTTGATAGTACTTTCTCCTCACTATAAGCACAAGGACTAGAAGATTGTGTTAAGGGGAGAAGGAAAAATATTCCTTTATATAGTTGAGGTAGTTGTATGCCTCTACAAATGGTAGAAAAGACAGGAAAACAACTAAAAGTAAAATAATTAATGACAGTGTGACAGCATGTGTGTGCTCCTTTAGGAAGGACACTTGCATTGTTTATTTCTTTTATCGCCTTTATATTTATGCATTAAATAGCTTTTATTTCCTCTTTATTTGTTTATTACTTCCTTTCGTATACATTTACTCATTTTTATTTCTTGCGGCAAAATGTAGTGCTGTATTTGCGCCTATCTCCGGCAATTCTGCTGCATGCGGATCGCCTCCATGTCCGATGATTTCTTTAAGTATTTCTTCTTTATTTAATCTTGCTGCTAATATTGCTGCAGTTGTTCCGTTGCAGTCTGCTCCTTTTACTGCTTCAGGGGTTTCATTTAACTGCAACAATACCAATTCACGACGCCCCGATTTGACGGCCTCCTGCAAGGCCTCAAAAGCCATTTTCCCTTTTTATAATTGATGATTAATGCTAATAAGTTATTTAATTTATTTATATGTTTTTTTATTGGGGTTTCAAGGAGGAAAAGCTGATCCAGTAGAGCACGCAAGGCAGCCGCGAGCAGACGAAACAGGAAACGTGGGGAGAAAAGAAAGCTTAGTGGTCCTAATTATATCCTTCTACTTCTTCTTAAACGATTTTCTTTTATTTAATTTCCCTTTTCCTAATTTTCTGTTTGATTTTCTCTTCCTTTTCCTCCCTGCTAACAGCGGCAAAATAAACCTAGCCGCAGGTCACACGGCGCTGTGTCTCGATCCTCTACTCCCCATGTTCGCAAACCCAGGAAGTAAAAATACAATTTAAATAAAAATGTTCATTTAAATAGAAAGTTGATTCTAATTCACAATTTTTGCTGACAATATGATGCATGAGTTACTTTCCCGTCATAGACACAGCAAAAAGACCTCCCCGCCCCTGTCTGCATGCAACGAGTGACCCCCGAATACACCACTAAGAGGCGTTTTTTTAACTGCATTATATCTATATTGGTTATATGCTGCTACAGACAATAACAACAGACATTCAAGTGCAGCTGCAGATACACCAGAGAAAAAATAACCAAACCATGGCGCTATATATGCATACGTACTTAACAGATGTCTTACAAGCTCCGGTATACTACCGGGGTTATAATAGTATAAATAGTTATAATTGTACTAATGTCCGTACGTATAATAAGTAGAAGAAACGAATAAATGAATGACAATTATTCATTTATGCAGCATTTAATTCGCTGCAAGAAATCGTTAAAAAATGACTAGCATACATACAACATATATAATACATATATTATTATGCCCTCTAAACACAAATAGGAGGATGGCATCATTTTTTGTGCTATAATATAAACAAAAAACAGCCATAAACGAATAAAGACGTCATAAGACAAGAAATGAAATCTACAGGACTTGTACAAACAAAAAAATTGTTGTTTGTTTGTCCACTAATATATCTACTACTAAAGGATGTACTCATACACCTGAATCATAGGGGTATACTTCCCTATGTAGTTTATGTATAGACGTATTCATCCTCTTTCCCCCGTTGTTTATTCTTCCTCTTCTTCTTCTTCTCCTCCTCCTCCTCCTTCTTCGCTGCTGCTATCATCATCGCTGTCATTTGTGTTCTTATTGTTATTGTTGCTATTGCTGCTGCTGCTGCTGTTGTTGCTGTTGCCTTGGGTCTGCTGTGCTGTACCATTACTACTATCATTATTATTATCATTATTATTATTACTTTTTGCCTGTATTTTATTAATAAGTTTAGTTGCACAATTAAGTATACCACCGGTATCTACACCACATTGTACACATAATTTATTTTTTTTATAATTATTTATTGCACATTCTTCGCAAAAATAATGACCACAAGGAGTAACAACAGGATTCATACTTATTACCCATTTTTTACGACAAGATAAACATGCAAAAGGTAATCCATCATCATCTTCTTCTTCTTCATCGCTATCATCAGATGAATTACTACATGAAGAAACTCCTTCTTCTCCTTCTGCTTGTCTACGTAAACGATCCTGTATATAGTAATACACAACAATAGGGCAAGAAAAGAAATGAGCAAGAATTAAGAGAAAAAGAAGAAAAAGAATTAAGAGGTGAAGGAAAAGAATTAAGAAAAAAAGGAAAAGAAAAAAATAAACAAAAGAAAGGAAAGGACGAAAGAAAAGGAAGAAGAAGAGAGGAAAAAGAATGAGTGGGTCGGGGGAGAGGGACGATGAAAGAGAAAAACATATACAAATATGCATGCAAAAAGGAAGAAAAGAAATAAGAAAAAAGGAGGGGAGAGAGAGAGAAATATTAAGATGCTAATTATTATACAATAAAATGAATAAACATTATACAAATAATTGATTAAGAAATTAGTGTTTCCTAGGGTTTCGTAGGGTTTAGGGTTTAGGGTTTAGGGTTTTTTGTAGGGTTTAGGGTTTAGGGTTTACGAGTTTTTTCTTTTGCAATTCTTCCCATTCTTTATCAACTTGCCATCCTTCCTTATAATCAGTTCTATCATGAAGAAATTTACAACAATCACCATAACCACAGTATCCTGTTTCCTTATAATCCTTACATATCTCTGGCTTATAATCTATATACATAGTAAGTCTTACGTTACTATTATTACTCCTTGATGGCCCATATAGACCTGTTATCTTATTACGGGATATAGCCCCTTCTTTAGGTAATACATATTTCCTATAGGCACCCATACCTCTATATATTCCTCCATCTAATTCACCATTCGCTATCTTCTTACTTATTAATATATTTCTCTCTAATATTGCCCTATAATCTATCGATTTATCTGTATCTACATCTAATCGAGCTGTAGCACGAGCATCGTCATCTAATTTCTGTATACATACACACATGCACATAAACACAATTAATACGTCCATGCATGATGCATGCATGCATACATGCATAAACATATTCATGTATACATGCATGCATAAATGCATGCATGTATGCATGTATGCGTTTATGGATGTGTAAGGATGCATGCATGGATGGATTAATGGATAGATGGATGGATGGATGGATGCATGCATACATATGAGCAGAGGAGGGTTTAATGCTGAATATTTATATTATTAATTATTCTTAAATGGTTGTTAACGACGAGAGATACAGGTAGCGGCAAGGAAAAGAGGAATGTACACAAATAAATACATAAATAATAATTAATAAAGAAGAAATGTTGTGCGGCAACATATAGTACAGAAAAACAATATAACACTCAATTCGGGTGTATAGGGAGGTAATTATACAGAAAAACATGAAAAAAAGAAACAAGAAAGGGAATAAAAATAAAGAATGAGTATACACAAAATAAAGAAGAAAGAGAAAATAAATAAAGTAAACAAAAATAAAAGTAAATAATAATAAATAACAAGAGGCAAGACACGATAAAAGCAGGAAGATAATACATCACTGTACGCAAAAAATAAAGGAAAAAAAAATTATATTTAATTTATTTTATTATATTTATTTTTTTTTGTAATTATTTATAATTTATTTATTTAACTATATTTCTCCTCCTTTTCTTACAAGATCGGGGTTACTTTCTTGAGCCAAGGCGTTTGTTATTTTTTCCCTTTCTGATGCTTTCGTCTTCGTCTGTACACCACAAAACCCTAAACCCTAAACCCGAAACCCTAAACCCTAAGCCTTAAACCCTACACCATAGAAACAAAATAAAAGAGTGCCTAAACCCTAAACCCTAGACCCTAGAACTGCAAGCTTACCCTGCCAACGAGGAAATGTTTGCAGATATTAGTCCTTGGCTGCTTTCTTCTGGCTATCTTTGCGTGTTCTTCATCACTGCCATCAGACCTTGCTGCGGCTGCTGTTGCCGCTGCTGCTGAAATAGCTTCCCCCTCTGTTCCTGCTGCTCCTCCTGGTGCTGCTGGTGCTGCTGCAGTTTCTCCCTGTTGGTCTGCTGCGGCATCTGACGGGTTTGGTCGTTTGCGCACCCCTTTGGGTGCAGAGCGCTTGACAAACATTTGGGGTATACAGGCACGTAAAAGAGGAGAAAAACCTAAATAAATAGGTAATAAAGAGAGGGAAAAAAAGGAGAAAACAAAGAAAGGGAGCAGCACGAACAAAAAAAAGAATGAAAGAAGTAGAGGTAACCCTCAAGAAAAACTAATTAAAAGACATAAAATATAAGGTGTACATACACCTAAAAAATAAAAATAGTATTGCTGCTGTCTATAAAAGAAATGTTTACAAAAGAGCGACGAGCCCAAAGCCCCAAAAGGCAGGCGAAAAAGCCCCTAAGGCAGGAAGAGAATCGAGAGTTTAGGGTATAGGGTTTAGGGTTTAGGGTTTAGGGGCCCCTCTTTATTAAAGAATAAGAATTATATATATATCCTTTTATATGATTATAGAAGAGATATTATTGGGTGTACACAAAAAGACATCATATGCTTTTAAACACCAGCAGCGACCGCGCAACAACCCCCCCCACGCTAAGCATGCAAAACCCTAATAACCCTAAACCCTAAACCCTAAACCGTAAACCCTTTTTCCGCTGCGCTAGAACTTGTGATCAGCAAATAATCGGTGAATACTCCTGGAATACCTCTTGAAGGCTGTGAGGTGTACGTACACCTCCGCCGTCGCGCCGACTCTTTGTCGGCTAGTCTCCCTGTTGTTCTATTTCTTCCTTTCTTTCTCCGGTTTCTTCAGAGTCTAGGGTCTCCCCAAAACCCTAAACCCTAATTTATTAATCGTCATCTCGTAACCCTTACCATCTCTACGCCTGCGGGGCCCCCAGGAGCCGAGCGGCGGCGGCTGCCGCGGGTGTCTGTTGGGGGTAATTCATGAATGTTTGGCGTTCTTTTTGTGTTTATTTCGTCATATTCGTTTGTTGATTTAATCTTGGTGCGGAAAAGGAGAAAAAACTGCACCGAAGTACCTGCTCAGGTCCTACTTTACTCCCTCTTGCAATATACCTGAGCAGCATCAGCTGCCTGTACACCCGAAAGCTGTACCTGCCTGTACACCCGAGCTGCCTGTATACCCCAGGTGTTTGTATACGACAGCTGCCTGTACACCTCAAACCCTAGATGCTCCTTTATTATTACTACCCTTCGTGAAGATGCAGACCCTCACAGACCCTCGAGCTCTCCTCGATCCAAACCTCCCCTTCAATGAAGCAGCAGTTAATCTGCTAGACAGAGTGGTGGCAGCAATGTTCCTCTCTAATGACAGTGTAGAGGTAAGAGGGTTTAGGGTTCAGGGTTCAGGGTTCAGGGTTTTGGCGGTTTGGGGGCTTGTTATGTGTGGCGAGGTATTGTGGGTTGTGTTATCGCATTTTTCGTTGAGGAAACCATTTTAAGGGTTTAGGGTTTAGGGTTTAGGGTCTATGGTGTATGTACAGAGGGACGTGGCGCACCGTGTATTAGGAGAGTTTAAAAATATGCCGAATGCATGGACACACGTCGCCTTTATCTTAAATGTCTCCAAAGACCCAAACACTAAATTCTTTGCTCTTCAGATCCTTGAGGCAACCATTACGGTACTCTAAACCCTAAACCGTAAACCCTAAACCCTTTCTAGCCACTGTGACATACTCCTCCACCGATTCGTTCTCGTAGGAACCCTAAAACCTCAATCACCACTTCATGTTTTGCTGCTGCTTGTCCCTTCTTCTTGGCCTCTCGCCGTCTGTAAATTATTCCAAGGGTTGAGGGTTTATTGGGGTTAATTAAGGTTAATCAGGGTTTAGGGTTTAGGGTTTAGGGTTTGTATATATTGCAGACCCGATGGAATGTACTGCCGGAGACGGAGAGAAATGGTATAAAGGCATTTGTTACTTCTCTTGTTATTCAATTGGCTGGTGATGAGGAGAAACAAAACACTGAAAAACATTTTATTAATAAAGTCAATGAAAACCTCATCGAGGTAAAACCCTAATTTAGGGTTTAGGGTTTAGGGTTTAGGGGTTTTCACTATTTTTTGGGTGTTTTAGGGTTTATATACAGATATTTCCCTAAAATTAACATATATAAAATAAATAGTAAATAATAAGTAAATAAATAAATAAATAAATAATAAATACATATAAGTACATGAATAAATTACGTAAATCCCCCCTATGAATAGGCACTCATATAGACCGTAAGAAGACACCTCCAGCAGCAGAAAACCCGCCAAAAAAAAGGAAATAAATAAATAAATAAATTATATGTTTGTTTATTTGTTTTTTTGTTCAGATAGTGAAGAGAGAATGGCCAGAAAGATGGCCATCATTTATACCGGAAATATGTCGCTCATGCCGATCTAGTCAGAATTTATGCGAAAATAATTTACGAATATTGAATATGTTATCTGAGGAAGTATTTGATTATGGTATAAATGATGTAGTATCTAAGAGATTAGATCATTTAAGGGATGAATTAACAAAACAATTTAAGGAATTATATAATGTATGTATATTTGTATTAAAAAGTTTTATTTCTTCTCCTCATGGTGGTATAAAAATTACACTTATACAACAAACCCTTAAATGTTTAGCACATTTCCTTAAATGGATACCATTAGGGTTTGTATTCGAGACAGAATTGTTACCATTATTATTGCAATATTTTTATGAGGATGTATCCTTTCGTATAGATTGTCTACGTTGTTTAACAGAAGTTTCCTCATTACAATTAAATATTAATGAATTAAATCTATTTAGTCAACAAATGACACTATTATGGGCACAACTTAGTGATAAAGCTGCACATACACCTAAACAATCCTTACAATATAACGACCCCACCAGTGTACCACCTCAAGTCAGACTCTTCTGGGAAACTACTTTCTGTCAACTTGCACTCTGTCTTACTGGTAAGTATACTGTTGCTGCTGCGTCTGCTGTTTTTGCTGCTGTTGTTGTTGCTGCTCGTGCTGCTGCTAGTGCTCGTGCTGTTGTTGGTGGTGGTGATTATGTTGTTATACTGTTAATGGTGCTCTTGTTATTCTTGCTCTTGCTGCTGTTCTTGATGCTGCTGGTGTTGCTGCGGCTGCTCTTCTTCCTCTTGCTTCTATTCTTTTTTCTATTTCTCTTGTGTTGTATTTAACATAAGTAAACAAACAAATAAACAGTTAATAAATATATTTATTGATGTGTTTTCCCCTCAGCTTTCTTACGAAACCATAGGGAAACAATAGTAGAGCCTTATGACCGCAACACGAACAAGACGACCTGTATAGACACCCTAAAGTTACTTGTTGCTATTAGTGGTGCTGGTCATGATGAGACATTTCAGATCTGTCTTGATTTCTGGTTCTCTTTTGCTGAAACTCTTCTTCATGAAGTACATCAAGAGGCTAAAGTACGTATTTATTATACATATTATAAACCCTAAACCCTAAACCCTATATTGGATAGATATACCACACACTCATCCATGTATATATGTACACACACGATTTGCTGGGAGTGGAGAGGGAGGAGTATACTTGATAGAATCTACGGTTCAAGGGAGGCGGGGGGTTAGGGTTTATTAGGGCTTATTAGGGTTTACTAGGGTTTAGGGTTTGGTAGGTTTTGAGGTTATCTTGTTTGTTAATGCAGAAAAGACAGGAACAGAGAAATGCAGAGGGTCCTCTGCTGCTGTCAGTTGAGCCAGAAGGTCAGTAAAACCCTAAACCCTAAACCCTGATATCCAAACCCTAGAATCCGTTGGTGCTTCCTGTTTAGCCGTAAACCCTAAACCGCATAATACCCTTAATATTGATGTTATTTTAGGGTTTATTGTTTATTATGTTTATTATTATTGCATGCAGGTTCTTTATCTCCTGCTGAGTTATCCTGGCGAGTTAAGGCATACGGAGAAGTATTGAATGAAGTAAGAGGGGTTCTTATTAATAGGATGGCTAAACCCCAGGAGGTGTATATACAGTTTGACCAAGAAACAGGAGAGGTTACTCGTGATTATGAGGTAGATACAGGTAAGAAAATAATTATAGTTTATAATTATTTGCTTATTTTATTGTATATAAGTTTTTATTACTACAGAAATCATTGGTACATACACCCTAAACCCTAAGAAAAGGGTTTATATATCCACCTATTCACAGCGATTAGGGTTTAGGGTTTAGGGTTTAGGGTTTAGTGTTTTGGGTGTGCAGCGGAGGTTTCTCTATACAACACCATGAGGTGTACGCAAGTGCTGTTAACCAACTTAGGGCAAATGGAGACACAAAGACTTATGCTCTCTGTATTACATATGGAGGTGCGTGGGGCTGCATGCAGCAGCAGCACACATACAGGTGCATGCAGCAGCACATGGAGCTAAAGAGAAAGAGCAGAGACACAGGCGTGCAGCACTCCTTATCCAATCTAGCTGCTCCTGTTGCTGCTGCACCTGTGCTTGTTCTGATGTTTTCGCTTACTGCTGCTGCTGCTGCTGCGGTTGCTGTCTATACAGTGCATGCAAGCCCCATGTCAAGGAGAGCAATGGAATTCAACAACATTAAATCGTTTATGTTATAGTATTGGATCAATAAGTGGCGCAATGAGCGAAGCAGTAGAAAGACCATTTGTTGTTGAGGTTATACGTAGTCTTCTTAATCTATGCGAATCTATGAGAGGAAAAGGAAATAAAGCTGTACGTTATCAGAGTATAAAAGGGTTTAGAAGGGTTTAGAAGGGTTTACGAGGGTTTACCGGTAGGGTTTAGGGTTTAGGTTCCCTACAAAACATGAATCCCTTATTATACCTCTCATAAATTAATAATAAATTATACTTAATAATTAATAATTATATATATGTATATATATATATATATA